ATCTTTTGGAAATCATCATGGGGTGATATTAACCAATTCCATACACTACTTCAAAACTTACACCCAAAAATCAAATTCACGCAAGAATATAATTTTAACGAATTACCATTTTTAGATATACTCATTAGAAATAAAAACAACCACATAATCACAGATATCTACCACAAACCCACAGACACCCAACAATACGTTCATTTCAAGAGCCATCACCCAAAAAAGCTGCCTAAAATCCATCCCCTATTCCCTAGCACGTAGAATTTGTACAATAGTGACTGATAAACATCTCCGAAAAATCCGCTTAGAAGAACTACATAAAACTCTCAAGAAACGAGGCTACCCCACAACACTAGTAAACAAAGGTATTGAACTCGCGAAAGAAATTCCTCTAGACCAACTTAGAAATAAAAAAGAAACGTAACGTCGAACAAACTCTAGCATATGTCTCAACGTACAACAAAAACAACCCAGAAATATTCCCAGAAATCACGAAAAAACTAGATTTACTTAGCAAGAATAATAAACTGAATAATATACTAAAAACAACCAAAATAATTAAGAGCAAACGCCAATCTAGAAACATAAAACACATATTAACCTCATCTAAATTTAGTCAACACAAAATACAGGGAGTCACAAAATGCAACAAAAAAAGATGTGGAGTTTGTGACATCATTATAGAAGGAAACTCCTACACTTTTGAAAACCCCAAAAAAACATTCACAATAAACAAAAACTTAAACTGCAACTCCAAAAATGTAGTTTATGCACTTAAATGTACAAAATGTAAGAAGTCATATATAGGCATCAGCCAACAACTGAACAACAGGGTCTCCCTACAAAAAAGCAATATAAAATTGACAGACAACAGAAAACTTTTTGTATCACAACACATTTTCAAATGTAACCAGGGTAAGTTTAATATCATGCCGATATATCAAACAGACAATTACTCGTATCTACAAATACAGGAAAAAAACTTTATAGACAAATTCAAACCCGAACTGAATAGATCGTAAACCCCCCCAAAAAAAACATGCACACAGGGTGACCAAATACAATGATCGCTCACATACATGGACGCACACTCATATACGGGAGACACGAGGAGATATATATATATGTGTATGTACACATACATACATTTATGTATGTATATGCGGATGTTGACAACTTAAGAAGTACGTGTGTGTGTGTGTGTGTGTGTATGTATGTGTGTGTGTGTGCATGTGTGTGTACTGGTTCCATGTAGCTTGGGAAATATGTGTGTATATGTGTGTGTGTACTGACTACTTGCGGTGGGATAGTGTGTATGTGTGTGTATGCGTGTATAGGTACAAATAAGTTTACGAATTCCTCGTAGTAAGGAAATATACGCACGCATATATACACGCATGCTGACAGGAACACGCCAAATAGAAACAGATCCAAGAGCACATAGAGGTCACTAAAACATTAAAAGATTAAATGCCGATAACTACTCGCTGGACAAAACTTAATTGTTTTATGACCCTTCACGCAGAACTCTTCATTGACAATTCTAGAAAGAAAATTCGGATTGCCAACACACAAACAGAATGTCTCATATCGAGAATATTCCATTGAACATGAAGAAAATTAATTATTTTTAATAATATGTAAAAATCTCCACTTTCACCTGAAGACGGTTGCGAGACCAGACTAGAAACACGTGTCGTGAAATTATGTAAAACAAAGTATAATATTTTTTCTCAATAAATCCACATTACAACCAAAAACGTTTGCGGCACCCCTCTTCTTTTTAATATACATACTTTTCTCTCGTTGGAACCACTACAACATATTTCTTTTATATATATATATATAGTTAAACCTAGAGAGCCAGGCCTTCCCTGACAATCCGCTTAGGTGAAACCTGGGTAGGTTTGTCTGGCTCTCTAGGTTTAACTAGGTCTGCTCTATTCATTGTATTGAGCACTTTATTTAGTTGTTTTGGATACTCACAACGTGTTTTTTTTTCCTTTGGACCTTGAACTCGTATGCTAGACGATTATTTTCGGTTAACGTACATCTTCTTGGTTCTTTCTTTTTTGATACCGTTCTTTCCCTTTGGCATCTATCTATCTATCCTTGTCTCTTCGTTATCTATCTATCTATCTATCTATCTATCAAAATTTACTATATTTATCAGGGTAGTGTGGTCAATATCGTAGGTAGAGTATTTATAGATACATACAGAGTGGATTTAAGAATCCATATGGTGACTATCACATGGAGATCATATGTTGACTCATATATATATATATATATATATATACATATATATATATATATATGTGTGTGTGTGTGTGTGTGTGTGTGTGTGTATTGGGAAGGAAAAAACCTTATTTTATGCATGTTTCGTTAATTTTTTCTGAGGTATTTAACAAAATATTCACATCTATGTATCTATCTCAGTATATCCATATCTATTTATCTATTTCTTTATATTCATATCTATCTATCTATCTATCTATCTATGTGTGTATGTGTTTGTATATATGTTTCTTTGGGTGGATGTGGGCATACAGAGTATATCAAAAATACTTTTACAAATATTGAGGGGGGGGGGGTTCCTAACACCAAAATAAGGACAAAAGTCCCTATAAACCTATGTCTGCAGATCCTTCGGTTTTGATTTATTAAGTTTAAAGTTTACGGCAGACGCTATTAAATGTACAATCTAAGATACAATTCAAATTACCTTGACAAACATTACGGCCGTTTCCTGACACCAAAGCAAGGTAAAATACAGTGTAACCCGGATATAAGAGAGTTGTCGGGACCGGAGAAGAAGTCTCTTATATTCGGGTTTCTCTTATATCCGGGTTTAGTCTATTTTATATACATTAACACAGGCTCTAATTTGGGACCAGAGAAAATCTCTCTTATATCCGGGTTTCTCTTATATCCGGGTCTCTTATATCCGGGTTACACTGTATAACATAAACATATGTCCAAAAGGCCATCATTTTACCTCAAAACAGCAACTCATAACAAATGTCCAGAAATGTCTTCCGCTTCCTTCTATACACGAATGCATCCGTCGGATCATTGACTGACGGACCCTTTCAAATACTCCTACACAGTCTCGAATGGTTTAACCGACCTCCATGACACGTTGATGAAGTGTCTCTGCATCAGTAATGTCTGGTGCATAAGCCAATCATTTTAGGTGGACCCCCAGATAAAAATCCAAAGGACTGACGTCGGGGAGAACGTGCAGGTCATTGAACCGGTCCTCCCCTACCTGTCCATCTTTCATTGAAGTTGTCAGCAAGTGCATAGGGAACAATGTTGCGTCTTGATGTTAGCAGGGGTACATCCTCTAGTAGGTGTGGAAGTGTGTTCGAAATAAAGTTCCTCTATTCCATCCAAATGTTAACCTCATCCGTAAATAAGACTGAACAAACAGCAGGTCAGTAGTTTGGGCTATAAACAATCGGCAAAAGTTATCTGGTGGAGAGTGATCCAAGCCGAAAGACCCTGCACACGTTTCAAAGTCTCCCCCATGCGGTACTATGAGATCTACGACATACTACAGCCACTTGACGTGTGCTGATACCTGAATGTGTTCTTCGTAGTCAGGCGTACGAGCGGATCTCTGTCTTCCTCGATCCATAATTCGTGGTGCCACGGATTCTGCCTCAGCAAGACTTCAATAAACAGCAGCAAAGGTTGGATGACTCGTCTGCCTTCGGTTTGGAAACGCAATCTGGATACAGTCGTGCAGCCTCGCGTCCATTACAATTCCTGCGGCCGTATGTAAAAATCATATCTGCTGCTCACAATATGAATATCCTGCCATTGTTAAATGGAGCATTTCTCAGTTAACTCACTACTACACACGTTAAGCGTTTAGTACAGACCAAACGAAATTTCTTTCGTCATAGATATCTCGAAATTTTCATATCCACAGGCACAATTTCGGCCTTGTCTGATATAAGTCAGATGATTAATGGGTATTTTTGAATATATTAGGGGGTGGTTTGAATATTTGTTAATATATATTAGGTTGTTGTTTGGCTTTCTGTGTGGTTTGTTGGTTCCGTTGTTTAGGTTGAGTGTTATACCTAAGGAATTTACTATAACATTTATAACTATTGTAAATCCTAATGCTTTGAAGGTTTTTGTTATTTCTTTTCTGATTTTTTCTCTAGCTTTGCCGTTGCAGTCTCTTAGAATTAATAGACCGTTGTCCCTACATAGACATATATCTTTTTTGTTAATAATATTTAACAATTTATTGATTATGTATATGCCCACGAAGTTTTTGATCCATCACAGCTACCCATGTCACATCAAAATTATTACTATCATCTTTATCACTTGTGTATGTTATTTTTCCTGACGTGTATCCTGTAGAGCGCATCCAAAATATGGTCCTTAAGCCCTATAAGAGAATTGTCATTTAATTAATAGTATATTTCTTAGTATATGGGATGTTCCTAGTAGGGTGATCTTCTGGGCAACATATGTTTATTTTACCTGGGACACAGTAAATTTGCCAATTTCTTTTCTCTCGTAGCCCAGAGTTCCGATTACTTTTGGTAAAGTCTCAGTCTCCATTTCCCACATCCTGTTAATCTCAAGGTCTTTGTATTTGGAAAATTTCTCGATAATTTTCATGGAGGCCTTTTTCACAAATGATACTGCTATGTCAATAAGCTAAAATTTCTTGTCTTTTATGATAATATCAGGTCTGTTGACTTTTATTTCCTTGTCAGTTTGAATTAGCATGTCCCAGATGATAGTTACATCGTTATTGTGAGTAACTGTGCCTGGTTGGTGCTCCTACCATCTCTCAGTGGTTTCGCTTTTGTCGTTACCTTGTTATGTCTGTAGGTGTATTCATTTTTTGCTAGTTTCGGACATCCTGAGATAATATGGTCGACAGTTTCATCATATTTTCAGCAGATCCTGCATTATTTCAGGTTAGTTACATCCTTGATTATTTGACAGTGATAGGACCTGGTTTCGAGTCTGTAGTCCCGAGTTGCAATAATTATGCCTTCTGTTTCAGCTTTCAGCTCGGTAGTCTTTTCCTGTTGGTCCTCGTCGCTGTATATACATATAAATTTTTTGCTAATAATGTTTGTTAATTTATTGAATTTATATATATATATATATATATATATATATATATATATATATATATATATATACCTATGAGTTTGCCACTTAAGTACCATCATAGCTACACATTGTTACATCAAATTTATTATTATTATTATTGCTCTTTTTGTCTACATTTTTTATTGTGGCATAATATTGATTTTCGGTAGTTTTTAATTATATTTATGTCTTCAATGGGAATAGTCATGAATAGTTTTGCTAAATTTAGTTTATTTTCATCAATAGATGGGTAGAAGTCTTTAATTTCTGATTGCGTGAAGGAGTAGTTTTCTTTGTTGGTAATGTTATTAAACGAGTTGATTGTTGCTGTTGTATTTTTCCATTGGTTCATGTTTAGCATGTTTCTTAGTTTTGAACATTTTTTCTTAATATTTGTTTGATTATTTTCTTTATGTTTCTTTTTGTCGGGTTTAGTAATCTTCATGTTGGTTTGGTTGTGAAATTGTCCCTATGGTTCTTTAATTTAATAATTAAAATTGCTAATTGCTTTATTCTATTGTCTAATTTGAGATTAGTGACTATATTTTTACCTTCTTTCTTTATATTATTTACTATTTCGTTATTAGTGGTTTCGTAAAATTTAGTGACTTCTTTGTCGACTAGATTATTGTAATTGTTGGTTTCCATTTTATAGATTATCATGGATTTATCTGATTTTATAATTTTTTGAGTTTTTTATCATTTTTTTATCTTTTTCAAGTCATTTTGGGAAATTATTGCTGAATTTTATTATTTCCAAATTATTGACTTAAAAAAGCATAGGGACAATTATTGATTATGTCTGTTAAGTCATTTTCAAAAGAAACGAGGTCGTTTTATTCACTGGTGTAAATCGAAATTTGTTAATATTATTAATTAATGTTGTTGTAGTTGCCACCATTGTCATTGTGTTTGTTGAGGAAATAAAATACTTTCTATGGTGGGCGTTTTATAAAGTGTTCTATTTTTTTGTGAGTTATCTACAGGGTCTGATGTAGGTATATTTTAAGTAGTAGTGTTGATTCCGTGTTTTGTTTTGAGAAGTTATAATAGCAGAATTGAATTCTGTGAAAAAAAATGATCAAACAAAAGCAAAAATCTGCAAAAGTGTTCAACTGAGAATAATTTTTCAGGAGCTAAGGCGATAACGATATCAAAGATAGCATCTAGCCAAAAATGCTTGCAATCAATGTAATACTGAGAGAAAATATATTTAAGGGAAGCAATCTTTGCAGTAACGTGCTGGATATCAAAGATAGGGCATTAATGGATGTATACGTATATGTCTGTCTGCAAGTGTTGAGATGTTGAGCGTTCCGCGTGCGTGTATTGAAATAAGGACAAACACATACGTAGGGAAAAATACTGGTATTCCGAAGAGGTATTTACAACAGAGAGATTAGTAGTCAAACGAACGCAAGTTAGTCAGTAACAATCAGAAAGAGTATAAAGTCCAACTGTATCTTCCGCTAGAGAGATCAGTCCATTCTGATGAGAAGGTGGGTGCGCTCCAACAGCTAGATACCTGCTCTGTGGTTTGGGCACCTCTAGGCGGTGTAATGTTTAGCAAGCTGGTCTCGCTAGAACAATTACAACTGAGTAGTGAGTTCGATCCTCACTGGGTGCCCTCTTCTTTCGGCCTTGTGCCACATCTAAGCTACGCTTGGAAAATCACTACTCGCCCTGTGGCTTATATTGTAGCCGTGCCGAACGGGCCTTGAGAGAGCGCATCATCTGGTCTGATGAACAAGGCCAATACGTTTAAACCCCCGGTCACTATGACTTGTGATTTCCAGGTACTTTCCAAAAGTACCCTACGCTGGAATCGCCTCTCCACTCTGATCGCTACTGATTCGATTCGAACCTGAATCTTACGGTCGGAAAGCAAACGTTTTCACCACAACGAATAATATATGTATATAGGTACGTAAACAAACTGCCGTATATATATATATATATATATATATATATATATATATATATATATATATATATATATATATATATAGATAACATTAATTACTTAACCCGCAAATGTGTATACGGCCACTGGCGCATGCGCAGTGACAATATGGAAAAGTTATTGTATGTCCAGACGTAGGCAGGTGTTAAATTCATAATTTTGCACAGATTAAACTTTCTAATATCTCTTCTACTGCCGAGTAAGGCGATGTAAATCTCATCTTTCTCCCCATTACAACGCTTCCAAACCCTTTCAGTGTTCCGCTCCCCCGATCGACTCTACGGCAATGCTGGACAGGTGTTGGACGAAGGATTGAGTCAGCAATAATATACTAAATCCGAGGCAGGTGGCCTCTCTGTAATTCGTTGATAACGACAAGTAGACCAACCAGATAGCGATTTCCGATA